ACTCAACGGGCATTAAAGTGAAGAAGCAATAAATGTTAGAAGGAAGTTTCTGACCAGAAAAAGTTAGAACAACTGTTTGAGAGGGAATCCACAAAGCTATCTATGCTACATGCTATGGTTTGCGTTTACTGATTTTTTAAATCGGCGAGCTTTAATTATTGAGCCAAAACCAGATGGGACCTTGATTGACGAAATTAATTCATCTAATGTCCACTCCACAGGGACCATTCTCAATATTCCCATCCGAGTGACATTATAGAAGGGAATTACAGTACCATATTTAGCACCTGCAAGAGCAGGGTTATCAATAAAACAATTTGCGTCAGCTGCACTTTTAAATTCCCCTGAGATTCTATTGCGCCCTATTCGCTTAACACCGTCACTAACAACATTTTTAATATTAATTATGGTAGAGAAAATGACCGAACTTTATCGGTTTTAAGATTACTCCGGATGATAAATCATCTACTATCTTACTAACATGTACAATAAAGGGTACATTGTCATTATTAGAGTATTTATGCTTTTTTATAAGAAGTCTGGATGAATATAAGAGGACTGAATAGATGGTACAGGTTGAGATGGATCAGTAATTAATCTTTTCTGAGGATGTTCTGAATCACTGGATACCTGTTGTCTTTTACGATTGGATAGTTCGATATCAATAGGTATATTTTTTTTTGGGAATAGTATGGGAGGCACATGGAACTCCGTCGGGATTGGGAGTATCTTCCTTCATTTTTATAGAACTAATTACATATAAAACAACACAATTACTAAATACTTACGGATTTATAATTACTAAAACCAACACCAACACAAAGAATAAACAAAAACAAGTAAATCAATAGATTTTAGAAACACGAAATAGTCAAAAACAGAACGACGCTTGTATACGGTGTTGATGTACCGGGACAAACTTGTGTCTGAAGTCGAGTCGTTGCTGAACAGAGTCTCGGATTGGGGGTGACTAAATCTAGTCCAGTTTAACCCCCATAAGACACAAGTTTGCGCGTTAACGACTAAAAAGAACCCCTTTGTCGTATCTCCTCAGTTTCAAGGCACTCCCCTTGTTGCCTCAGCCAGTATCGGAATCCTCGGCGTCGACATATCGAGTGACATGCAGTTTCGTGGTCACTTGGAAGAGAAGGCCAAATTGACCTCTAAAAAAGCTTGGCGTGCTTAGCGGAGCGGGACAGTATTTCATGCCAGCACACCGCCTGCAACTTTACAAGGCGCAGGTTCGGCCGCACATGTAATACTGTTCTAACACTTTATCACTCACACTTTATCGAAATATCGTGACTTCTTTTTCAATATGTTTGGATACTAAACTTAACAAATAATCAGACTGTTTTATAGGTGGTAGAGCCATGCTGCAGTTATATTAGTAGTATAGTTGTAGCACGATTGGGTCGTCTCGACCGAGGAAGGACCACGCTCTCACAGAACACCAGCGTAAAATATTAGCTTAATGTTGCAGTGTTTCGTATGGCGAGTGTGGAGAACCGGAGACCCTTTTTACTGAAAACGAAGACTTAAGAGATACAGAAATCACCCGTGTGAAGCCGAAGTGGTAAAACAGGCATTAATCTGACCTTCGTACAGTCTGCACCACAGAAATCGTAATAATAAGAACGATCACACCTCCGAAAAACCAAACTACCGGTAGTTAATTGCTAGTTAACGTACTGTGACATTTTGACACATCAGACATTGACATCTCTCACTTTTGTGTCTATGGTATGTTAACGTTCCGTTTGTTCGCTTATTGTTAAGTGAATTATACATTTCTTTCCATACTGCTGGCAGGTAGTTTACTGATGACTTATTTATTTTTGAATTATTTATTTTATACATATTTACTTATTTTTACATATATTTAGTAATCAGGTATAATTTAATATGATTTCTTCAGATGATAGAATTCGGAGTTTCAATTCCTTCGCCTTTGATTCTGCCTCATTGCCGATTCTAATTGCCGATTAAGCAGGATTAACAGCTTTGAAAGCATTATTATTAAATAATTAAATATTATGTTCAATTCAGCAAACACTTTAACCCTATTTACATAAATTCTCAAGGTATTCCTGCTCATTACCCCGACATGTTTTCAAGTTTTAATAGCAAACACATACACACTATCCTTGTTTCGGAGTCATGGTCAAAAACATGTCTTCTATCATCATCCTACTCGCTTCCAGGTTTCATTTGATTCGTAACGACCGTTCCGATCGGAGCGGTGGCGGTGTTGCTATTTATCTGCGCTCTCATATACCTTATTCAGTAATTAGGGTTTCAATTGGTTCTTAGACCGGAGGCGAAGCTGAATTTCTCTTTATCGAAGTTCTTCTCGGTCATACAAACTTACTCCTCGGAGTCTTTTACAACCCCTCTCTCACTGTCGACTACCTCACTTCGTTAGAAAATATTCTTGAAAATCTTACACCTATCTATTGTCACAGTATAATTGTGGGCGATTTTAATACTTGTCTTTTAAAAAACAACGCTAGATCAATAAAACTAAAATCTATTATCCAAGCAGAAAATTTAAAACTTCTTACTACTTCTGCCACACACTTTTTCCCGAACTGTGCCCCTTCTCTTCTCGACATAATGTTTGTGTCTTCACCTGATCATGTTTATAAGTTTGAGCAACACGCTGCTGATTTTTTTTCTATCACGACCTTTTATACTTGTCTTATAAAATCCGTCCCCCTAAATCTAAATCAAGGATGCTACTGCAGCGTATCTTTAGTGACTTGGATTTGGAGCAGCTTTTAAATGACGCTGTAAAGATTGATTAGAGTTCATCTCTATGTTGATCAACAGCTTTGTTCAACTCTTTGTTAATTCAGCTTTACGGCGTTCATGCGTTCAGTGCGTGTAAAACATCCTCCCTCTCCTTAGCTGACCGATGATATAAAAAATCATCCACATTAAAAATTGTGCCAAAGCAAAATATAAGTCAGTTCCTAGCAATTTAAATAGAGAGAAGTATAAATTAGTACGGAATCTTTGCAACAATCTATATAGAAAAGCACAACGGCGCCATATCCATGAACAACCAACAAGATCCTGACCCTGCTAGGGTCTGGAAATTTCTTAAGGCTTAAGGAGTTAGGAAATTACGACAAAATCTTACTCACCATAAATTTGATCTCAATCAACTTAATTTGTATTTCTCATCTTCGTCTTGCATTAACGATAAAGCAAAACATAATACTTTGGATCCTCTTTCAAAAGCTCCCGCTCCGGACACCTCTGCTTTTAATTTTAGCCAATTTAACAGTTGTGATGTTAAGAGAGCCATAATGCACATCCATTCAAATTCGATTGGTAGTGACTTTATTAGTCCGAAAATGGTCATCCCTCTCTTGATATCCTTTTATCTATAATCACTTCTATCCTGAATAATTCACTGAATTCTGCTTTTTTCCCTTCAGCTTGGAAAGATGCATATATACATTCCTCTTCCGAAAAAGTCGAATCCCTTTAGTTTTTCTGATTTCCTGTCTCTATTTTGCCTTTCCTTTCCAAAGTTCTAGAAAGTCTTGTGCACAACAATTAAACACCTATCTTTTAAAACATTATCTTTTAAATCCTTTGCAATCCGGTTTCCGACCTGGCCATAGTATGACTACTGCACTTTTACAAATCACTGATGATATTCGGTATGATAAGGAGAAACAAAAGCTTACCATTACGATTACGTTGCTTGATTATAGTAACGCATTTAATACTATAGATTTTGATATCTCGTAAGGCATCCTGCGAAGCGTATCTATGCAAGCTACTTGTTCTGACAGTTCTGTCATTCCAAGTCGTCCACGAATTCTCATGATATCATTTTTGTCGAAAAAAGGACAGATTAATTTCAGTTCAATTGATTTTAAATTCAAAAATCTTTTTTCTTTTAACTGTTGATATTCTGTTGTGAATGAATCCATTTGTGGTTATCTTATACAAGTTTGTAATAATTTAATAATAATTATTATAATAATTTGTGCTGCTTCTATTTCGTGATATTTCAAATATTTACTGTCGTGTTTTACTTTTCTTTTCAATTCTTAGACAATACGCAACAACTCTAACAAATTTTCGTCGAAAGGAATAATTTTCGAGAACGGCTGAACCAATTGTGATGAAACTTCACGAGCATATAGGTCTAGAAATTAATTAAATGGTAAATGATTATTGGTGATTATCTAAAGATGACATAAATGTCATTAATAGATACCACCTGATAGTATAATATAAACTAAACCCCCGTGCCTCGCAATGCACGTAAAGTCGTCGGTCCTTTTGGCACGTAAAGTCATCGGATTATGAGACTGAGCGAATAGAGAGTGCATCCGTGCTTGCTCATATAATCTGTCACTATAATCTTCTTCTGCCCTGATGACTAGTATCTTTTGAGACTGGCTGCTGTGACCGAAATTCTGAAGGACATTATTATTATTATGAACTAAAAGGTATTGTTTTGTCATCTACCAAGAGGCAAAATCATTTGTAAATTCAACCAGAGTTTTGGAAACGTGTAACATTTTGTTAGTACATAAAATAAATGACACCATAAGAAGACTATACCTAATCCCTAACGTTGAAGCACGATTGTTGAATTAAGACCTTCAAGACCGAAGCGCGAAGACTGGAATGGCACCTAAAAAAACTGTTTTTCTGTCTTCTAGGCGGCAAGACCGCGCCAAAGTTTCGCCTGCTATCGCAAGACTATAAGAAGGATGGGGACCAATATATCTGCAGCCACTGTGATAAGAGCTACCACAAGATATGCTCGCTAAGGTTCCACGTGAAGAGCAAACACTACAAAATTCCGAGGTTTTTATGTGAGCTCTGCAAGAAGGAGTTCATGACCCTCGCACCGTTCACCGTCCATAAACTGGAGGTGCACAATGTAGACGAGCGTTTCAAATGCAACGCGTGCAAAGGGGACGTTCAACACGAAAATTCAACTGCGGAAACACATAAATAATTTCCACATGCTCGGCGAGAAGTACAGGTGTGAGTTTTGTGAGTATGAATCATTCAGCTTCGAAGGTATGTACAAACACAAGTACAAGCACAAGACCGTGAAGGATTACCATTGCCGCTTCTGCAGGAAGTCGTTTTTGAGGAAGACGACCCTGGACCTGCACGAGAGGATTCACACGGGTGACAGGAGGAAAGTCTGCAAAGAGTGTGGTCAGGCTTTCGTTCAGAAAGCCAGTTTGAACTATCACATGACTAAATACCATCCCGAAGTGAACTTTTAACGATAGAGAAGTGAAACTGCCGCTTTTCATCATATCAATAAATTACGTCGTTTCGCGTGCTTCTTATATACTCTAGCATATTATTTTATTATTCTAATTGTGATTAGTTACGATTTTATATTTTAATTATATGTTATCTTGAAGGCCTTACGTTCATAAATTATTTAACAATTATTTATTTTTTAATGAGACCAACACACCACTCGTTTTTTTTTTTATGAATTTGTGACTATTATTTTCATGTGTTGAGAAAATAATCTAAAATAATTGAGATTTCAAAATAGTTCGCAATTCTAATCGCATTATTGGCTGTCTCGTTTATTTCTTGCATGAACTCAGAGCGGAATAAGTACCTATCACCCATTTTATAATTTTTAATTTTGTTTTATGAAACTAAAAACTTTAAATTAAGTTTGGGATACTTTGGCCAGATAGATCGTAATAAGCAATTAATCAAACCTTTAGTAATAATTTTGTGCGTTTATAGTATCTTGTATAAAAGCACAAACTATGGTTAATGTAGTAATAACATTAACAAGAATAATATTATCATTTTATCACTTCATTAACTATGTTTTATGCAATCTTTAAGAACTTTGTTTAAGTTAAAAACTTTAAATTAAGTTTGGAATACTTTGGCCAGATAGATCTGTAATAAGCAATTGATTAAACCTTTACCAATAATTTAGTGTGTTCATGGTAAATTGTATAAAAGCACAAACTAAGGTTAGTGAAGTGATAACATGATAATGTTCTCACAGAGCTCGACGGGTGCAAATAGCTTAGAACTATGTTTAACGGTGAATATACAACGAGCTGCCGCGAATACATGAATTCATACGAGATAGTTTACTTTGAACGATTTTTTTCTTATTGTGCATTTCCCAAATTTAATAACAAAATTTTTAAGTTCTTTCCTGGTGATGGGAAGACGAAGGAAGGTGTTTTATAATGTGTCTGTTTTTTTATGAAATTGAAGTGACAAACGTACTTAAAGTCCGTCTAATGGTAATTGGCTACTGTAGTCCATGGACCATTCATTGCCTATATAGGGTGTCCGGTAATTAATGTATAACCTTGAAATGGCTCTTGGTAGAACTAATGACCATTTATAAAAAAACACAAGTGCAAAAAATAAGTAGTACCAAATATATGTTTTTGTTTTTAAATAATATTGATATTTTTTGTTATCTTATTTTACATTCTTGCACACCACGACCACAAATTAATGAATTCCATCGGTTTTATTATTGTTACAGTAATTTAAGTTAACGGAGCTGATAGATAAGCAATAAATAGTATGACTGTTATTACACGGCTTTTCCAAAAAACACTTGAATTATTGTTCTAGTGAAAAATGTTCATTTTGACAAAGTTTGAGCAACCGTTGCATTAAAAAAACGTATTGGAACACAAGTGACCAATAATTTTTAACAAAAATGTCTTTGGTATTACTTTTATTTTTCTATTTCTTTTTCTGAATGGCCATTAGTTCTACCAAGACCTATTTCGAGGTTATCCATTAATTACCGGACAACCGGTATATGTAAGGACATCTACTACACCATCATCCCGTGGGTGCCATAAGAGGCGACAAATCACACAACAAACTGCGGCAAAAAGACAAAAAACTGAGGTTGCTAACCTGCCTGCGTGGCGTGGCAAATATGGCAAATTGCACACCTATGAATCAATCTATGGAGGAGGTCAATGTTCAGCTGTGTACTTTTGACACGCTGTAACGGTAATTATTTAACCCTACAGTGGTCGCGTACCTAAAAGTGGCATGTTTGGTCGCGTGGTCTACATGGGTATACCATATTTATGACAAAAGAAAGTGGACAATAAATTCAAAATACCTGTTTATTTGTTTTTAAATCTTAATATCTGAGTCTTTTCTATATAAAATAATCAACAAAACATAATTACATATCTTCTATGCTCAATAAATCAACTAAAACATAAAATGCCTCTTTTTTTAACAAAATATCACACAGTTAACATTAGATGAGATAAAAAAAAACTATATAATATTATTGTAATCTAATTGCTATTTTGTGAACAAGACAAGCACACAATTTCGGAATGGTCAGGACATATAAACTTTTTGCACTTATTGCACATCTTTCGAGTGCTTCTATTACGTGCTCTACCGCAGTCATGGCAGCGACCAACGTAATTTCTCCGTATCGGTCCTGCTGTCGATGGCTGGTTTTCTTGTTGCGGAAGACCCAGAAAATCTTTTATTTTGAAGGACAGACTTCTTGGCAACGTTTTTTTGTCCAGTCTTTGCAAAGCCAAGGGTTTCATCCAAGCCAGTGCCAAGTCAATAAGGAAATCACGGCGTCGAACAAATTCAAAGTTTTTATTTGCCGAATGTATGCATAGTGCGTTGAGGGCACTGAGGTTGATCAGATCATAGAAAACTGTAACGGGCCATCTTCTTGAGTTCCTGGAGACATCATAAAGTGAGCACATTTTATCTACTAGATCTACACCGTTTTTAGTGCGATTATAGTAGGATATTATTTCTGGTTTTTGTTTATCACCTGTATCGGCATCAATTGCTGCGTCATTGTGCATGGTTGATAACAATATTACCACTTTGTTAGGTTTTGCCTTGTAAGACACCAATGTACATGGTGGATGGAAACCAAATTTTGATGAATATATTGGATTTCCTCTCGCCTCTCGAAATAGCCGTGGTACTTCTCTTTTGTCCTTCCGTACAGTACCAACCATGGTGGTTTCATTTTCAAACATTTGTTTAGCAACTTGCAGAGAAGAAAACCAATTGTCCATGGTTATGTTTATGTGTCTGCCAAGAACTGGACGTACCACTCTCATAACTAAGTCGCTTCGTTCATTACTCAAGCGGAACGGTCCTTCAGGTTGTTGGCCTGCGTATATTTCCAAGTTGAACGTGTACGAGTAGTGAACGTCGACTAGAGCAAAAACCTTCACACCATATTTTGCCGGTTTGCTTGGAATATACTGTCTAAATGGACAGCGTCCTCTGAAGGCTAAGAGTTGTTCATCTAAAGTCATTTCAGCGCTCGGGACGAAAAAGTTTTGGAAGTTTGCGAGAAACAAATCAAAAATTTCTCGGATCGGAGCAAGTTTATCGATTTTTGTACGATCTTGACGGTCTCCTATATCATCGAATCGTAAAGCTCTGAGAAGGAACTTGAACCTTTGTTCAGACATAGTTAAATATACTGCGTCAACACCAGTGTGTTTTACATGCTCAAATATTTGACTTGTGCTCGAACGGCTAATTTTCAACACGCCAGCCATAAGTAAAATCCCAATAAAACCTCTTATCTCAATGTCATGTGTTGGTTTAGCATCCCTTTCTCTCACATATTTAGCCTTCATGTAATCAATTTTTATATTAGTGTATTTTGTAATGAGATCAATTATATTATCATCTAAAAAAAGTGACATACAATCTGCAGGACTAGTTTTCTGACGTGCGATTCCTTTAGGACCCGGAGGCACAAAAACGATATTATGGGTCCTAGTTCTTCCCCTATTCAGAGGCGCTGTCTTTGTCCAGACAGTGTTATCCACACCAAGGTAAATATCACCACGTCTTCTGCTCTGAACTGATTCACTTTCAGAAGCTGAACTGACAGATTCAACCTCACCTGAGATGTCTTGTTCTGATGCTGAGTCAGAAAACTGCTCCTCAAGATGATCTTCTTCATCTGAACTTGAGAAATCGTCATAAAGATCGTCACGGCTATCATCTTCAGCCAGCCATGCCTCAATCTGAGCAACTTGTCTATCCATAATTTTCTTCTAAATGTTATTGTAAAATTTACCTACAAAAATAAACGAAAACATTAATATACATAATGCAATAAATAATAAGTAAACTGACTAATTTTACATTAAAATCTAAATATAATGCACGCATAAAATAAAAGCAACAAGTCCAGCAAAAATACTTACGTAATTGGTCGTGCGGCATACACTCGTAGACCTCGGACTTTGCGCTGCTCCTGTTTCATAACCACGCGCAACCGACGTTATCGCCGAACTGAGCGCGTGCGTCAACTATTCAACCTAAAGTACCCGAAGGATAAAATAAGTGGCGCTATCCGATTTTTGAAAATTTGTAATTTTGTATGAGTGGATTACATATGTAGACCACGCGACTACTCTAGGGTTAAATAGTTGTTCATATTTTTTGTAGTTGGGTCTATGTTTTTAAAGATCTATTTAGCCCAAAGTTATTACTTGACAAAATAGGTATGGATTATTGTCAGAGAATGTCTAATGGCATTAATTCCGCCCCTTTTGTAAGTAGTATGCAAGAGTGCAATAAAGATTAAATAGATAAATAAACAGATAATACAGTTTCAATGGCAATGGGCTGGCCGTGCAGCTAGAAGAACCATCAACCGATGAGGAAGAAAGGTTCTTGAGTGACAGCCCCTTGCTTGTAGACGAATTGTTTGTCGGCCCCCAACTAGATGGAGTGACGACCTAGTAAGACATGCAGGAAGACGATGAATGCGGGTGGCTCAGGCTCAGGACCGTGCTTTGTGACATTCCTTGGGCGCCTATGGTCTGCAGTATACTTACGAAAGACTGTAAATGTAAAGATGATGCTGATGAAAACAGTTTCAAACGTGTCTAGACTGTGTAAATCAGTTTTACACAGTCTAGACATGCAGTTATTAAAATAAAGTAATGCACACTATGTTGTTCTTAAATGTATTATTATTTAAACGTATTTTTGCACATAAATTATATAAAAATTATATTGATATCAGATAATATTTACGTACACGGAATATTACACACATGTACGTCCCTTATGTTGTTATTATTAAAGAAATAAAATTCTGTAAACTGTGAGAGACGAGTTTTATCTTATTAGCTGGGTAAGCATACGTTGTTCTGCCTTTTCCAGTTGACGGTGCAACTTTTCTTTTGAATTTATTTCGGTTTTCTAACAGTATAAATATAAATTTTTTTGAAGTGACAAC